GTCGTTTTCAGAAGGGTCATTATTTTGTTGAACTGATTTTTTTTGTTTTTGTTTAGTTTAGTCTAGTTTTTTTGTTTTTCGTTTTTTTTCTGGTTTGTTCGATCAGTTTATTTGTTTATGTAAAGAGAAGTAAATTGACAAAAACACAGTCAATGATAATATTAACATTTTGTCACTTGATTTCTTTGAACATTATATCAAACTGTTACCACTTGACTATTGTAAATATCGTACTACTGAAATGATATCAATTTATAAGTGATAAATTATACTATAAAAATGTTTTATTACTTTTAATAAAATTGCAAATGTTTTATTATCAAAACTTTATCACTTTAAAATTGTAAATATTATATTATCAAAATGTTATCACTTTATCATTGTAAATAGCAATCAAATTTTTAAAAAATCATATTATTATTGTTAACATCCCGTTGTTATTAAAATCTAAACATTGTATCTTGGTAGATTTTCTACACCCGGAACATGCCACAAGGTATATAATTTAGGGAGCGGGCTGCTCTGACCATGCCTGTCAGTACCACCCGGCATACACTGGGATACAACGACAGTATAGCAGAAATCGCGCTTCCCCAGAATTACGAAGTTCTATCTGCACAATACTGAGTTTAGAAAAAGTCCATGTCAAAATAATACTACGCCACAATCATTAATAAATGTTATTAAGCTTTATCGAACGCAGTTCTTTGAATAATATGTTGATAACGACTCCGAATAATATTGCGATGTTGATAAAGCAGACAGAGCATTTCCTTTCTGACCTCACGGTTTTAGTTCCTCAAAATCGGGTGGTGGCCGAAGCCTACTCTTATCGACTTTGGACCACCAGGGGATCTTTAACAAGCGGAACTTGCACACGGGACCTCCGAAATTGTTCGTTCTTGTCCGAGAAAGCTAGGTGTGAATCTTTCATACCAGAAGATCAAGGGTGTGGCTGAAAGACAGCAGTAAGAGCCGATGAGTAACAGCAGAAAGGCTCCAGAAAGAGTCAGGGGGCAGGGGAGGTGATGGGTGGGGGCAGAAAGTGGAGATGAAAGGAAAACATTTTAAAGAGAAAAATTTCATTCTCTATCCAAATTCGAACCTGGGACCTATTGAATGAGAGGCAAACACTTCAACTGCTAGGCTACGAGAGTCCCCGTGTGTG